AATTTCGGACATTGGGGAACTTGGCCAAAGCCATGGTTCTATTGTTCTTTCTCGCTGTCTACTTAGTGCGAGCCATATACAATCTGAAACAGGTAAGACAGGTGTGAGATTTATATACTGGAAGGATACTCTCTTTTGTGACATCACATTATTTATACATTATATTTCAATAATATTATAAATCTTCTATAAGAGTAGTATATACTCACGTTTTTATGCCCCAATCGACCCCTGGTATCAGCCAACAATCTCTTATTTTCGGGACGCAATTAATGTGTGTGCAGACTTTCTCAACTCAAGCCAAAAAAACACCGATAAATCATTCCCTAACGTGAGAACATAACAATCTCAAAAAACGGACAATTCAAGCTCTCATATTTACTTCTATAATACCTAGTGTTTATATATATGTAAATATACATTTTACATTTGATTTGCACTCCCGTGCCTTTCGTAAGTTTTAATTTTTAAATTTAAATATAAACAAAATATATATTAACATACATTGGCCATTAGAGTCCTTATCATCTTTTTGTAAGTCGGATGTAGGAGGGTTGCTAAAAAACTAAACTATACTGCTCGTCATTTGCTATTGATACAGTTGAGAAATGGTTTGAAATGTGTAATACATTTAATTTAAAACTAAAAATACATCTTGATTCGTAAGATAGTTACATACTATTTCATGAATTTCCCTGAACGGAAACTCTAATGCCTCAATTTTGGGAGTGGATATCCAATGGGGTAATCCTAGTCCACTTTAGTGCTGTTTTAGGTCACATTTTACCTTAAATACTACGGAACAGTCTTTGATCAGACACAAATACATTGAGCTTGCTGGCTCATGTTCCAGCCAAACATGTTTAACCAGCAATGCAGTGTCTGTGCTCGCAGCACATTGCCTACAATTTCGGACATTGGGGAACTTGGCCAAAGCCATGGTACTATTGTTCTTTCTCGCTGTCTACTTAGTGCGAGCCATATACAATCTGAAACAGGTAAGACAGGTGTGAGATTTATATAATGGAAGGATACTCTCTTTTGTGACATCACATTATTTATACATTATATTTCAATAATATTATAAATCTTCTATAAGAGTAGTATATACTCACGTTTTTATGCCCCAATCGACCCCTGGTATCAGCCAACAATCTCTTATTTTCGGGAGACAATTAATGTGTGTGCAGACTGTCTCAACTCAAGCCAAAAAAACACAGATAAATCATTCCCTAAAGTGAGAACATAACAATCTCAAAAAACGGACAATTCAAGCTCTCATATTTACTTCTATAATACCTAGTGTTTATATATATATAAATATACATTTTACATTTGATTTGCACTCCCGTGCCTTTCGTAAGTTTTAATTTTTAAATTTAAATATAAACAAAATATATATTAACATACATTGGCCATTAGAGTCCTTATCATCTTTTTGTAAGTCGGATGTAGAAGGGTTGCTAAAAAACTAAACTATACTGCTCGTCATTTGCTATTGATACAGTTGAGAAATGGTTTGAAATGTGTAATACATTTAATTTAAAACTAAAAATACATCTTGATTCGTAAGATAGTTACATACTATTTCGTGAATTTCCCTGGATATTCTATTCTGGTTACAAACGGAAACTCTAATGCCTCAATTTTGGGAGTGGATATCCAATGGGGTAATCCTAGTCCACTTAAGTGCTGTTTTAGGTCACATTTTACCTTAAATACTACGGAACAGTCTTTGATCAGACACACATACATTGAGCTTGCTGGCTCATGTTCCAGCCAGACATGTTTAACCAGCAATGCAATGTCTGTGCTCGCAGCACATTGCCTATAATTTCGGACAGTGGGCAACTTTGCCAAATCCATGGTACTATTGTTCTTTCTTGCTGTCTGCTTAGCGCAAGCCATATACAATCTGAAACGGGTAAGACAAGTGTGAGTTTTATATACTGGAAGGATACCCTGTTTCGTGACATCACAAGCAAAATTCTACAGAAACCCTTTATGAAGTCAAACCCTTCTGTGATGTTTTATGCCTAGCATGGCTTCCAACATTTTCTGATCTGATTTAAACGTAACCAAGATCTTTATTATTGAAATGAATGCCATTATTTATACATTATATTTCAATAATATTATAAATCTTCTATAAGAGTAGTATATACTCACATTTTTATGCCCCAATCGACCTCTGGTATCAGCCAACAATCTCTTATTTTCGCGAGACAATTAATGTGTGTGCAAACTGTCTCAACTCAAGCCAAAAAAACACCGCTAAATCATTCCCCAAAGTGAGAACATAACAAACTCAAAAACAGACAATTCAAGCTCTCATATTTATTACTTCATAATACCTAGTGTTTATATATATATATATACATTTTGCATTTGATTTGCATCATATCATAGCATTACATAAAACAACAATTGCCATCCTGACTCTATGGTTCTTATTTACAACATACTTCTAATCTAACTGCAAGACAGGCTTCTTTTTTATATAACTATTTTCTGGTGATCATTTTACACTGAAAAATTGATCACTCTAAGGGAGTGATCACGAATATCAGTGGAATATCAGTGGAGGTACAACAGCACCTTCAAACTGAGGACATGATGGTCTGGCACCGTGACCTTAGCAGCCCCATGTGCTGCACTACTTTTTAAATTTAAACTCTTGTTTCATCTTCCCCTGTCTCAGGTGGTTCCAACATGAGGGAAAGAGGTATCTCTACCTCATGTCCCAAAGTGAGTAAGTTTGGTGTTACTCCAGTTGTATCATGTGGAGTTGCTCTATAGGCCATAGTGACAAAGGGAATTTGTAGATCCAAACAGCCTGGTCAGAACGGATTATCTCAGTAAGAGTCTGAACTAGGCTTTTATTGAACCTCTCAACCATGCCATCCAAAGTTGCATGATACAGGATCGTTGAAGCCCTTGTTTTCTTTGGAGGATTCCTCTGAGAAGAACATTGTTTACATTGTGCAACACAGAGCTTGACATCCATTGACATGTTTGGCCAATAATAGCGTTTATTCAATCTGGCTATAGTTTTTTTGATTCCGAAATGTGCAGAGATAATTGAGCCACGTGCCTCATTTAAAATGCCTTGCTTCATCTTTCTTGGTACAACTAACAGGAACCTCGTTGTACTTGAGTTTTTGTCTGCCCAGATTTTATACAGAATCTGGTCATTCCGCAGATTAAGTTGTTTCCATTGGGCCAACAACGTTTTTGTTCCTGCTCCTTGATAAGACCAGCTTTCCCATTCTGGTCTAGTTCTTTCTTTCAGAAATGGTAACAAAGGCTTTATATCTTGACCAACTAATTGCATTTTGAGTACCTCTGCTCGGTTCCACTTGGGACCTAACTCTATAGTCAGTAGTTGCACAGTCTCAGTTTGTCAATACATCGGAAATGAACCGACTTAGTGAGAACACAAAGTTTTTGTCATGTTTTTTTCCACCGACAAATATTTTGATATTAAAAGCCTGTTTTGACAACGTTGAATTTTAACGTTTGAGTTACGTCACATGTTATGTTATGTTATGTTTTCCACACTTACGAACTTTACGGACACGTTACAACAACGTTCTTTTTATAACCATCAATAGATGTCTCATGTTTACGTTGCCTTGATGTGTAAAGAACGAAAATGTGCAACGTCTTCTAGGAACTTATATGCTACTTATGAGCAACATGACATGGACGTCACTGTTTGCTGGATCGATTATTTTAAAAAGTGCTCTGTCTCGTATAGGGTAAAAATATCGAACAGCAGTACCTCGGTAGGCTAAGTCTGTCAAGTTAATTCGCTAAATCAGGGGAAATGTGGAACTTTGAAAGTTGGTAACCCTGCTTGGAACGTTAGGTACCCGGTCGACCGGGTACCCGGTCACCCGGTTACCCGGTCACCCATTTTTTTTTACACAAACCCACACCCTGACTCAAAGTTACCCGAGGGACCCCCCCCCCTGTTGAGAAAAGGTGGAATGGTAAGCTAATGAGTGCATCTGTAGATTTGCTGTAAGATAGCCAGTTAGAATCTCTCATCCACTTTACTGAACTCTTACGATTTTTAGTATTCTTTGGAAAGTTATAAGTTGCCAGCAAATTCTGCCAGTTTGAGGTCAGGAGATTATATTTATCTACGTCATTTGATGTTATTTTGACTGTCACAGGATCGATATACGTGTCTTGGGGGTTCTATAGGCCTAGGCCTAATGGGCCTTTGAGGGCGCGCCTCGGTTTCTGTATTTACTTCGACATTTAGTCCTTCTGTTTTTTCTGTAACATTTAGTCCTTCTGTTTGAGGAACATTTACCTCTTGGTTGCTACCACCCGGGTTGGCATTTGCGGGGGTATTTGACACTGTTGGATCTTCCTTCTTGGCAACTTTAGGAAAAAATGACTCAATTGTAGAGCCACGTTTCATATCCTGAAAATTAAAAACAGACTTGGGGGTTTTCAACGGTGAAACTTAAATTTAGGAAGTATTGAAAAAGTACTAAAAACTGAAAATTATGCTGGGCTGGAGTGACAGTGTACATTGATAGGAATATTATACGGTAATATAAAGTAAAACTATCAAGGAAATGAGATTATACAGTGGTGACGTAGTATACGATTTAAGATAATTGCGTTGGCTCATAAAGATGATTTACACCAGAAATAATGAGAAAACTTTACCGAGTCTCTAGCCAATTCTTCCATCTGGAACATCGTGAACTATTGTAAAATCTTCAGCCGTCGTTCAATAAATTTATGTAATATTCTAAAAATCGTTCTGTTAATATTTCATGAATTGAAATGGTAATGGCTTGTCTTGTTGATGAGATATTAAACGTTTTCATTTAAAATAGACGTCTTCTTGTTCTCCATTTTGAAAGCATGCCTTTTTTCCGCTATATCGATTTAGTCAAGATGGCGGCTTGTTGTAGAATATTTCTTTCAGTTTTATTTTAATTCTTTTGTGAATAAATATCCTGCGAAGTAGACGAATGTATGAACTAGGACTGTGTGTAAAGATCAATGAAGGTGAGTTTATTATGTTAACATCAATAAAAATAAGACGGCTGGGCAATTTAAAGGCAAATTCAAAACAACAAAGAGTGTCTTATTTATATGCTATCGCCACACTCAGTGGCCATAGAATATGGTAAAGAAAACTCACCAAACTACGTTCTGCACTGTCCCATAACTAATTTTGAAAAATGTGCCAAAACAGGAAATTAAATCACTGAACGAAATCTACTTCTGTGAAAAATACTCCATTTGGCCCGGGAGCACATTATTATGGTTGTCGCTGGGGGTAGAAGGTAAATGTCAGGTAAGATTATTTAGTGTGAGCCAGAAGATACACAAAAATGCAACCAAATTGGAAAAATTTAACTTGTCTGGAGTCTTGAAGGGAAGTATAGTCCAGGAAAGATCTCGAAACAAACTATTTTGCTTTACTTTTTTTATTTTTTAAAACAATTTATTTTTTGCTCCATCATTTACAATGTAGGGTACGCGACTGCGTACCCTCGCGTATGCCTGGTTACGCGCCTGTTAGATATATGACCAATCTGCCCACATTGATAACAATTCATTTGTCTGTTTAGAGGCCTGAAATAGTAAATGAATGACATAACCTTATTTTCCACATGGGGCCTTAAACAGTAAGGAAAAAATACAGAAGAACAATAAATTAGTAATTGCTTGGAAACACTAATAATTTTTTTTATTATTGGGATACAGTTTCATTTATGTATCTTCAAATGGGGAAGTTTCCCCACAAGAAAGTGATTTCAAACATACTTTATCCAGTTTATTGATGTATACATAACTGTGAAATGACAAAATTGAAGTAAATTAAACACAGTGGGCTATTTCCTGCTTTTGAAGAGTCGATTTTGCCCCTCTTTGTGCCTTTCTCTACTTCCTGGTTCTTGTGTTTGTTTGGTCTTGATCCTGATTTCTTTCAATTTCACTGGTGATCCACTCGATTACGCTGGAACCGTTTCGGTAACAAAATGTCGGAACGTCGAAGGCACAAAATTTTCCTTATTTCACACGTTGTAGCCAGAATTCCCACGACATTTTTATCACAAACGTGTATCAGTATTATGGGATTCAGAAAATGTAAACCTTTGTGAACAAATAGTCCAGGAGACAACGGAATCGTCGATTTAATCCCTCACTTAAGTTACCGAAATTGTATTTCAAAAAACAGTTAAGATTTGCACTTTCAACCCTTACCGTTCATGTAACTTAAGTGAGGAATTAAATCAACGATTCTGTTGTCTTCTGAGCTATTTTTTCGCAAACATGTACCTTTTATAAAACATATGATACTGATACACGTTTTTGAGAAAAAATGTTGTGGGGATTCTGCCTACAACGAGCGAAATAAGCAAAAAAGAAAAATCGTACCTTCGACGTTCCGACATTTTGTTACCGAAACGACCGTTTTGGTAACCAGCGTAATCGAGCAGATCACCAGTGAAATTGGACAAAGTAGATGTGCATGCATGTAGCAATGCCTGCAATCTTCAATATCTCTAAATCTGCCATAGTTACTCCACCTGGGATGATGTTTTCCAGGAGCTTATCTGCAGTTAATCCCACCGGGCTTTCTCCTTCCTTGAATGAACCCAACTATTCCTTGTCTAAGTCATTCTTGCTTTTCTTTGAGCCTTGTATGATAGAATGTGTATTAACCTTATTTTTGGTTTAATTATTTTTCCTGAGCCAAAATGTTAACATGCTGACAATACATATTTGTTGTGACATTAGTGTATTTTTAGAAGAATAAATGTTACGGTTATGCCTTGATTTGAGCATTGGTTTATAGTTTCTTATTCAGTTGTTTAAAGGGAAGGCTTGATTGAAGTCTAAAAGGAAATATACGCTTAATATCCGGATGCCTAAGGCACTCAGGTTGTATGCCATGTAGCCATGCAGTGACTCTTCTAATAGGATTTGATTCACAAGGAGCACACGCATCTCGAACTCGCACCCTCGTGGTTACGGCGCCAAATCGCCTAGCTCGAACGTGCCGGCGCTCAAGCCCTCTCGGCCAACTCGACAACCCCCAAAAATGTTGTTTTGTCAGTCGATCAGACTAGAGGCAGCTGATGTTAATGCTCGAACACACCAGAGGAATTTTTCAAATGAAATGTGTGACATATATGGAATTCATGTGAAAAGTCAGAACGGAATGCGTTCGCTTTTTTCGACGTTCATATTTTACTGTATCAGCATTTTATAAAAAGTAGATTTTTTAAATATCAGCATAATGCCTGATTTGCGTGACATTTAATCATACACGCAAAATTGATGCACGCTTTTAATTTTTCCAGCAAATGCATGAGGGTTGACAGCAGCTAACCCAGTGGTCACTGCAGACTAGTACATTTTTTACATTTTGCTGCTCTTCATGCCTCCTTTAAAACTGCATCTGTTCTCTCTTTGCATAGGCCCTCAATAATCAGTTGTGAATGATCAGCATTATCACACATCATCATTGAAACCATCACTTTGAACCTGTCTCCCATGATGATTCTGAATATAGATTGGAGGCATTCACACATATTAGCTGTTTTATATCCATTTTCATTGTGAAAGTGACTCAATGTCTTTTCTTGGTGTCATCTGTAAAGCTAAGTTCACAACAACGGCGCTTTGATGGCGCTTTAATGGCGCTTTGAAGCGGCTTGCAAAGTGGCACCAAAGTGTAACAAAGCTTGATTAAAGTGTCAGGGTCATTATAGGTCGTGGAAAAGCTCGGAGAGTAGTTAAGAGTAGTTGTATGAAATAATTTTATTACAAAAAATCGGCCAAAAAATTATATCCGTTTTTATTATTATTTGTTGTCATTTTAGCCATCATTCACTTTTGAGCATGCACCATGTGAGCCCAGTACCCACGGTACTATTTATTTCTTTTTTCAATATTACACTAATTTATGCTGATACAGACATTTTAGATTTCTTGGATTATAATAACCTAATCGTTTGATTGCATTTAACATTAAAATATTTGATATAATGGTCAAAATACATAAAAGACACAGTTAATTAAAAGAAACGAAATTTTATCATTTATGGCAGAAGAATGAATAACGGACATGACAGAGGAATTATCAAAATGTAAGACTTCTAACGCACATGGTATTGGTCCAAACTACTGTAATCTCATCTGACTAATCAGATTAATTTAAAATACTAGTATTCATGTAGTTTCCCGGGAATTTGCAAATTTTAGCGCCCGGTTTATTTTAACCCCGGTTTATTTTAGCGAATTGAATTTTTAGCGAAACTATAGCCACGGGTAGTATCTAAAGCCCCGCTATGATTTAGAAGTCGCGAGCAAATACCCGCTGAAATCGCGAGCAATTAAAAGAAAAGAAGGGTTTATCTTTTGTTTACTTAAATTGTATGTTAGGCGTTTTCATTTAATTTTACTCAATTATTACATGGTATTGATACTAAAAAGCAACTTCTGCAAAAAAGGATCACGAGCTGATGTTCTGAGTTTTGTTATTCGATAATTGGAGAGAGAATGTATCATCTTGAATCTTTATCTATATATGTCTATATTTTATAGCTGAAGAAGGTCATTGCCCTTCAGTTGAAATGGTCATAGTAATATGAAATGAAGGTATTGTGAGTTTCACTTCCTAAAGTTTCACAAAAAATTATATATTTCAATTTTAGCATATCCCTTGAGGCCCCGCTTCTACCATGAGCAATAAACTAAAGATCCCGCTGAAAACATGAGGAGGCCCCGCTGAAAACATGAGGAGGTCCCGCTGAAATCAGGAGCAAATGGCTCTCTAAAATGGAGTGAAGACCGATTTGACTTTGCAAATCTGCCACGACTGCAGCCAACGTAATAAATATATTAATTATTGATACTCTACAGAGCACATATATATCATATATCATTGTCATTGTTATTATCGGTTCGAGCAACCCCCCCCCCCCTTACCAAAAGCTGGCTACAAGCATGATTCCAATAAAACCATTTCACTTAATGTATTTCGACCTGACTCCATCGAGAAATTTACCAAGAGAAGATTTAAATCCATTCCACGACTTTTGACAAGTTTCAAATAACTCGTTCTTCTTTGTATGCAATATATATTTATATTTCACTGAAGTTACATTATACTGTAGTTCAGTATATTACTACCTTAGAGGATTCAGCACAAATGGCGCACACGTTTGAAAAGGCAATTTATGGATCAACTGCTAGATGTAAGTAACAAAGGAGTACATCATCCGATTATGAGTCCGAAATAATGATAATCAAATAATTTCATCATTAAAGGTGCAACAATTAGTACAACGAACATGGATCAGCGTCAAAATATATTTAAGTTTGGATATTTCATTCAAGACTTACATATATTTTTGTTATCTTGAAAGAAACCCTCTGGATGTACATTTTTTCAGCTGATATTCCTCTTGAAACGTGGTGAATCTTAAAAATCTATAAGTGGGACTCCCTTTATAGAAGCTTTGAACTGAATTTTCACTTCTTAATGCTGAAATTTATAGTTTATCCATATATTATAAGAAAATAGGTTTGTCAAAGAAGATGCCCCTTTAACAATTAATCGTAGGTTATGTTAAACGCACGTGTTACGCGGAAAACATGATGCAAAAATGTGTCATATTCTGCAATAAATATGGCATATTCACTTGCGGTGTATGACAGATTCAGCTGCAGTATATTGCATACCCACTAAGCAATGAGAACACGATACAGAAGTACGCAATTGTCAATTGCATTGATTGAACAAACGGGTAATCATTGTGTCATTTTCACCTGCGGTATATGACATATTCGGCAAGTGAGTATGACATATTCTGCAGGTGACTATCAGGTATTCACTGAAATCAATGTATCGCATATTCACGGCGGAATATCGCATACTCACCTGCGGAATATGCCATAAACTGCAGGTGAGTATGGCATATACTGTATACCCGTATCACAAATACCACGCAACCATAATTGTATGCCATACTCCGCGTAACATCGTATGTGTTACGCGGAATATGGCATATATTCATGGTTGCGTGGTATTTGTGATACGGGTGTATATGCCATATTCAGCTGTGGTATATGGCGTATTCCGCAGGTGAGTATGGCATATTCCGTATTGAATATGTGATACATTGATTTCAGTAAATACCCAATGCTCGCAGAATATGTCATACTCACTTGCAGAATATGCCTTACACCGCAGGTGAGTATGCCATATACCGCAGGTGAATCTATCATACTCCACAAGTGAATATGCCATATTCATTGTGGAATATGACATATATTTGAATCGTGTTTACCGCGTAACAATATGTCCAGGAAAATGGCTTATGCAGGACATACGATTTATATGTCCCGGATCCTCGTTTGAGCGGGACATACGAAAAATATTTGCCCGGATATGGAATATATTCCCGGTTGATATGTCCCTGAAAATTATCAGGTATGGAATACAAATCATCATTATTTTAATAAATATCTAAAAACAAAAACTTGAATGTTATTCTTAAATGTTATTGTTATATTATAAAAGTAGAACCTGAATTATCATGAAGACTTTGTGGTTCTCCTTTCTCTCTAAATTTCATCTTCTTGCAACTTGGGGTGTCTTTGTTTAATACAAGACTCATTACCCTGAACCTCAGGCTTCAATTAAGTTCATTCTTGAAATGATATCCACCTTTCTCCTATACATTTTGATATGGATGCAACTCTATAAAATGTTTGACGAAATCTCTGGTGAAGTTGGAATGGAAACATTAGAAACCTGGCCCTAGAATGAAACAGTATATATACAGTAATTATTAGAAGTACTTAACTTGGTCTTTCGTGTACGTTTATTTGAAGAACCTCAATATTTTATGTAATAGTTCTGAGCTTTCCTCGTGATCGAAGCGGGTACTCGTGATATCTGTTCATGTTTTCAGCGGGACCTCCTCATGTTTTCAGCGGGGCTTCCTCATAATTTCAGCGGGGCCACTGGCACACCTTCAATGATGTATTTCACCCCCCACAGTGGATGTTTTTGAAAACAAACTGATCAATACATACAATGTTGGTCCAATATTCATAATGAGGTATGTATATCGTAGTTCTTGTCTCTATTTTAACCATAAAAGTAATATGTTAACAGTAAATTATGCAAACGTGCATATTGACGCCCGTTTCTTCCATGCCAGTAAAAATAGTTATCTTTCATTTCATTGTTTGTGAAGATACACCTGTTCTGAAAGTATACCTAAAGTATAAAAGAACAGTAATGAGTATTCTTACCTTTTTGGTCCATATTTCCAGATGAAAAGGACTTTGCTCGTGATTTCAGCGGGAACTTGCTCGCGATCTTTCAATTATAACGGGGCTTTGGATACAACCCGTGATAGCGATCACTAACAATCGCTAACAATTACCCCTCGCTAACATTACCCGTTTTACAGTATTAGGTAAATCAAGAACCTTGAGACGTAATTGGTCACTTTTTACTAAGGGGGTACCACCCCCCCCCCTTAGGAATTCCTGCTCGTGCAATTAGCTTAGGAACTCAAGAGTTAAGGGGCCCCTCAACCCCCCTCTTCCCCTTAATTCGTCTTTTGTTAAGAATTTTACATATCAAATACAAACCACGCCTGTAGTGTTTCCTGTACTTAAAAATATTCCTTAAATGTTTCTTGTCCTTAGAGCCGAAGTTTAGGATGATGGTAGCCTAAAATAGGACCACAATTTACCTTATTGAATTTTCAATACTAGTATACAACCCATCCTTCTTCGAAGGACTTCATTTTTGCTTAAATTCTTGTAAAATACCCTTGCAGCAAGGATGATACAACCACTACATTATACTTTATATTGCGGCTAATAACTTTTATTATTATGCTATTCTTGGGTATCAATTGGTGGTATCAAATTACTGATACAGTTTACAGGGCAGTGCCAGTGATGTCATGGACATGCTGTTGTGAACTTAAATTACTAGGCTTGGCTTTTTTAAGAAATTTTGAAGTTTTACTGAGTGATGAATAATTTTAATCTTAAACATCTAAACTTTAGTTCTTTTCATATATATGCGAATCATTCCTTATCACATCTGAGCAAGGCTATTATGTATTGTAACTTTATCTACAAGTGATTACTCACTAAGTGGTATACAGATTTCCTCACTTGAACAAAGGGTACTAGTTCACTGCGCATAAACTAATTTAAATGATCATACCTGTGTTACCTTTTGTTCTATGTACATCATGAATACTGTTACGAAAATGTTCAAATTTCTTCTATATTTCGCATTACTAGGATGTACTTCTGGATTAAAATGTAACAAGAAGACAGCATGTTCCTGTGAAATGTCTGATGGCAGTGGAATAATTGATCTTTCAAGTCTAGACAGTGGTGGAAGTGGACCAAGATTTACCATAATTTCTTCATCTGACGTTTTTGGCCATTATGAACTGATCGAACGTGCCTATAATCCATGTACAACATTTGTGCCAAAGGAATCTGGACAATGCCCAAAGAAGCAGATGTATCTTTACAGCTATAACTTAGTTAAAGATCAAGGACATGTTGTTACTAATTCATGTTCAATTTTGGGTACTCCCGACGATGTCAAGTTTGTCTACAATGAATCAGATAACCATACTACAATTCAGTATAAAGGTACAGTGCCATTTATTGAAGGGTTTATAGTAGGGATCCAACTATTTTTGATTCAATACGCATCTCACTTTTATGAAAACTATATAATACATAGAGCATTTTTCATGTAAACTTCAATATGTATATTCCTTATATATTTCGCAAAATGATGCCCTTCGGTAGGAATTCTTTTTTGAAGTGTGTTAAGTGTGATGATATCACATGTATCATATCATTACAAATATCAGCAACATGCAGTATATACTCAAATTGGCAGGATTTAAATTTTGCAGAGGGTTCACTAATTATTACTGTGTCAATTCTGGGTTGTTATTTATTTTAGATTAGTTTCAGTCTGTGAAATTGAAAGGTATGGCTTTTGATACACTATTGTATTAGAAAATGATTTTTGTAGATTAATATGAAATGAGCCTGGCTATAGGAAAACCGGTCTTATCACAAAAATTAAAATTGTGCTACAGAGCCAAAAATGTGCCCACAATTAAGAGGAAAATGTGCTAAATTCAGATCCGACTTTTGGTGTATATATGCAAGGGCCATGGCCATACTATGTCCTGATCTCATGTACATCTACGTTGCAAACAGTGAAAATAATGCTAAAACGGCCGCCTGTTGATGCTTTGAGATGTCTTCGGTTGTCATTTAATCCAAATAAAGTAATCATTATTTTGTAGATTTAGACACAGGCTTTCAGATCATATATGTATTTTAGTCATTAGAGTGATACGAACGCTGGAGTATTCATGTTACCATGGTAACAAATTTATTAAAATGAGTCTGATAAAAAATCGAAAAATGTCATTCACTTGTTCATTGCTTTGCATGACTAATATATTTTAATATATCTGCAACAGCACAAAATTATAAATGGAAAGCGTTGGGATTATGACGTCATAAAGGTTTATTTTGCTTTTGTATATTCCTGAACACTAGGAATCACATTTTCATGTTCAGTGCCATCGGGTATGTCTCTTTCTCTGTGTGAACAATATAAATTTGGTCCAAGACGCATCCTTTTAACATATCTTTTATTTCCTGTTGGTCTACTATGCTCTACCCAAAATTGGTATGCGCGTTCTCTTTGTTCCTTGGATATAGCATCGGATTTTGTTTTACGTTTGGTATATCGGAACGATGCGTCATTTGTATCTAAGATCTCTGTTCTTAACCGTTGGCCGCCAGCAAGTGTGCGCGCCTATCAATATTTAAATCCTTTGCCAGAGATCGTTTCGCCCTTGTATTTTTAATCCTCTCACCCGATAAACTACCAGTAAGAACATGTAGTATTTCACCGGCCTGTTTTGATCGATGTTGCTTTACTTTGTCGATAATATCCTTCATATCTTTCAAGGCTGAATTTTCGGTTGTTGAAGATTTAGAATCGGAATATTCACGTTTTAGTATTTTGACTGCTGGCGATTTTCCTTCCATAAAACTGTTAACTGTTTCGAGGCGTTTCATAGGGGTATTTGGAAGGTTTTGTTTTAATTTCTTTAGGGCTCTTGATTTCTGGTATCTTCTTGCGAACTTTTCCCCATCTATTTTATTGTCTTAATTCTTCATTCACATCTCCGTGACTGGTAGACCTATTCCTATACTTCTTTATGTAACTCCTCATGTATTCCCGTTTAGACTTTTGACTTTGCCGTTTTACTTTTCTGTTCTTCTTTTGTTCTTTTAGCCTGCTGCAAAGTAGCGGTTTCTGTCAGTTTACGTCTGTATTCCCGTTTTCTACTCGACTCTTTTGTTATTTCTTTATTTTCAAGTCCTCTGATTGTGTTACTTGTTAGCACCCTTTAATACATCAGATGCGAGTAGAAATTATCTTGATTTAGTTCAATAAAAATTCAAAATTCAGGCAAACTGATGTCATATTTGGAATCTACATGTAAAGTTACTTCTAGAAATGTGGTTTTGAAGAGTTTATCAACTCTGAAAATACAATTTTCTTTGAAAATTTGACTTCTAGGTCGGGGAGATTCCCCATAGACTCCATGTTGTAAAATCACAAAAAGTGAAACATCTATTTTGCGTTGGTCAGGTAATATTTTCTTTTACTGGACATATTTTAATTTGTATAACTATCAGGTACATAAGGGTAATATGAAAAGTGAACCACTAAAACTGATGATTATTTAAGTTAAAGGGAATTTTGTAATACCCTGCCATGTTATTTCCCCCGAATCAGCCACCTGGTGGCAAAAGTGGTAACTACCTACTCGCATCTGAATAATTTGCTGTGCCTTTCTTCTTTTTGTTTTTCTTTTTCATTCGCCATTTTTTTATACGTGACTGCGCTGAAAATATAACATTTTTTCTTAGTTTTTTAATAATCTAGGGTATTTCAAAAACATAACACTGAGTAGTCAATACTAGAAATATATGAAAACAAAGTATTATGAGATAAATATAATTTATTCCAAACTGTAAATGAAAAAGGTTTGATACCTTTCATTGAATTACATGTTAAATCATATTTGTGTATGATGTTTGTATTAAAAATCAGTGAAAATTTCAAATTTAAGCCTACAAGTATGTGATGATCATATAAATTGATTTCATTCTCGCTTTCTCAGATTTTCTTTTTTTCAAAATCTTAAACCTTGATGCATTTATCCAAATTTTAGAAAGAATAACAACAAAGTTAGATTCATGAATTAGATGCAGAGGCCTTAATTCAAAGCCCATGGAGTGCTCCAGACTTTGTGTCCACAAAATCAAAATTCTCTGTGCGGTATGAGGAATATACATAACTGCTAGAATGTGACTATTGAAATGCCACATTTACATTGTACTGTAGAATGTTAATTGGGCAGTGAAATGTTATATTTAAGCACAATGCCGCTGTAGGCACCAATAATAATTGTTTGAATTGTTCCATATCTGAATTATCGTATATGGGTCTTTTTCAAAAGATCGTCACTTTCTCCGAAAAATTAAAACGGTTGATATTTCAATCAATTTTTGATTTTTTGGGACGAACAACGAACATTGTTCCAGAAAATTGCCTTTAAAAGATAGTTTAAGTGGAAATTACGAAATAACACAGCAAAATGTAAAAAATCTAACATGCGTGACGTTTTTGATGAAATCAACAGTTACTTTTGTAATACAGACGATAAAATACATTTAAGTCTCTCAAACTGTGTAAATGCATATGACGAAAAAATCGTTTGTCGATATTTCATGAATTTATGCATTTAAGGTTTCTCAGCTAATTTTAAATATGCTAACGTGCGTGACGTTTTTAAATATCTGCTTTTTTCATCTGCTATCCTGAGTTTCTCATATAACATGATATATTAGGAATAAATATGTTTTAACCAATCTAAAGCTTTAAATAAACGTTTTACCCTTGTAAGTTTTGTGTCTTAAGGCATTAAGCAAGGTTTTTACTAAAAACTAACGTGCGTGATGAATTGATTGTGTTGACACGAAATATGTTAAACTCAATAATAAGTGTACATCTTAGTGATAAAGTAACAGCAGTCGATTTCTTAGTGTATAATACATGTTATACCTTGTCAAACATCATACGTATTATATTTTTAAACTGGCAAAATATGGATATCCGATTAATACAATGGTTTAGGACTTATTTCAACCACAGAAGTAAATTATTCTATAACGTACAGTATCTTGCTTCATGGTCATTCCATTTCCCCAGCAGGATACGTTACAATTAACATTAATAGCTTTCCTCAAATTATTTAGTTTGAAGAATGACATAGCGATATATTGTTATGTGTATTCATCATTTTATTCAAGAAAATGTTTGCTTGAATTCTACGTGCGTGACGATTTTAAGTTGACACGATTTTAACAGTAAAATGCTAATGGACTTCATGAGACCAACATATCTTGTAACTGGCACAAAACAATTACTTTGAAAATGTAACAACCACAAGGTTAACATTAAGACGGTAATCTATCTACTTACAACTGACTACAATACAATACAGTTACATTTTAAATAGCACTGTTTGAATTTTATACATTTTATATCAAAACCAGTGGAAATTTAAGTTACTATTGACATTTGATCATCATCATGATGATCGGGATTTTAATTCAGGCTCCTCAGGTTTTGATTTTTCTTCCCTCACAAAAGTTTATCAAATTCTGACAAATTGGAAAAATGCCTTCCAAACTTAAATAAGGAGCGTGTAACTGATAACAAGAACAGTGAAATGTGACAACGTTTGTACACTTGAATGCTAAAATTAGACTATGAAAGTCATAAAGGTTCAATAATGTTCATCATAAATGTTCATTTGTCGGTGCCATGGTTCCACATTCTCTCAGTAAGTCAGAACCCATCTCTGTCCAGCTTCCTTGACTTCATTTTCATTTATGTTTTATGGCTATTTCATAACAGGAGAAATATAAGGCATTGTATGGATCAGGAGTAATTGTTATCCAATTATTCAAATTACTGTGTACAAACCTGGTTCCAAAATTCACTTCTCTTTATTTACACATTTGTGGCACGTAAAGTGCATTTGGTCGATGTTTCCGTATCTCGCACATGACTCGTGGGCCCATCTCTTGCAGCTGGTACACATAATCTATAAGTAATGTACGGAACAATTAGGAAATATCAGAAATTTAATTTATGTGTCAAAGTAACCAATGCAGTAAAATTCCCTGTGTTATTTATATCATATAATGGACTTTCACGTTGGAACTGTTGCTTGGAAATAAAAATTAAAGGATTATCAATATTGAGAATGTAACAATTACTTTACATACCCATTGTTCTCGTTTCTTTGGGTCCCTCATATCATTGTATTCAAAATCACTTTTCACGCACTTGTTTTCATCGTTCTTTCTCAACACGGATCTCGGCTTTTCCTTCACACCTTGCTGTGCATCGTCTCTAGGCTCTCTAGACTGGGTTCTCGCATTTCGATCACGTTTTGTCTTGGCTTTTTTCACTGGTCTTGTATTCTCCTGATTTGTCAACTTTAGGCTTATATCACCTGACCAACCATTCACCG